GGACACAACATCTTTGTTGGTATGTGGTGCTGAGGATCGAACCCGGGCCGCACGCATGCCAGGCGAGCGCGCTACGGCTTGAGCCACATCCCCAGCCCCTCACCTGGTTATTTGCAGTGTCTGTTTCTTTATCCTTGCTTGATATGTTTTTTACATGCACGTGTAATACATAAGCACCTATGTATATTTTTGCAAGTTGGATTATGCTGGCTTTTAAAGACTATTTCTTACTTAACATTGCTTCAAAAATGTCTTCACAGCTATATACAGATATTGCAAAATACAACACAGTGCTGATAAAATTAAACACAGATTAAAAAAAAAAGATCCTTTTTAGCCCAGAGTGGGATATCTGAGATTCTTGAAGTTGAAAGGTACAAGTACCTAATTTGAACTGAAAAGGCAGAGACATATGCTGAGCATTTCTGTTTCATGGGTGCATTTGAAGATGGATGGAAAAGATGTTAAATCTTAGTGCTGGTTGCCTCTAAGACTGTACTTTATCAGGACCCTCTTCTGCCAGGGACATGGTGCAGCTGGACCTCCAGATTATTGGGTTTCACTCAGTCAGTAGATTCAATCAGCTGTGGATTGAAAATAACTTTTTAAAAAATTTGTCTCTAGTTGGGTGTGGTGACGCATGCCTGTAATCCCTGTGGCTCAGGAGACTGTGGCAGGAGGATCGAAAGTTTAAAGTGAGCCTTAACAACTTAGTGAGACCCTAAGCAACTCAGTGAGACCCTGTCTAGGGCTGGGGCTGGGGCTCAATGGTTAAGCACCCCTGGGTTCAATCCCCGGTATCAAAAAAAAATTTTTTTTTTGTCTCTATTGAACAGATCATGTACAGATGATTTTTTCTTATTATGACTCCCTAAATGATAGAGTATTTATATCACATTTACATTGTATTAGATATTATAAGTAATCTAGAGATGATTTAAAGTATACAGGAGGATGTTCCTGGGTTATATGCAAATACCAAAATACTGTGCTGTTTCGTAGAAGGGATTGAGCATCTGTAGGTTTTGCAGAAGGTCCTGGAAGTAATCACCTGCAAATTGACAGCTGTACCTTCTTTGGTTCTGGCTTTCTCTGTGGCTTCAAAGGTGTGGATGGATTCCATGGACCCATGCATGAAGCCACTGGCCTTCCCTGAGGGGAGGAACCCTGTGTGTCTTGCTCACTGCTGTCTCCCTAGTGCCCTGTCCAGCACCTGGGGCTTCAGAGGTGTTCCATGTCTGCCAGGTGAATGTCTTTGCAGTCCGCCCCCTTTTGCAGCTGGAGGGTTATTTGGGCACTCATGGTCTTGGTGTCTCTTTCAGGTGGACTGGAGTCCAGCTCTTTGGTTCGAGGTGTTCCTGGCAGAAGCATCAGCATGAAGGTGCCCACCCCTTCTCGAGCCAAGCAGGGGCCCTTCAAGACCATGCCTCTCCGCTGGTCCCTGGGCCCCAAGGAGAAACGTCCCGGTCCGTCTGTCGAGCTGGTGGAGTACTTGGAGTCCAGACGAAGACCCCGATCCACCAGCCAGTCCATCGTGCCGCTGCTGACGGGCGCTGCTGGCGGGGAAGAGAAGTCAGCGTCACCAAGGTCAAACGTCACCCTTTCTGCTAAAGGTGAAGACAGTGGCCGAGCCAGTGGGAGAGGACTAGCTGAGGCGCCTTGTCCCTCGGGCCACCCCAACCACCATCCTGCCCCTGGATTCTCCGATGGTCTCAACACAGCCAGGACACCAAAGGAAAATGCAAGCCAGGATATCAGGCTTCCCAAAAAGTTTGATCTGCCCCTCACTGTGACGCCCTCAGTTAACAATGAGAAAGTGTCCCGCACAGAGGGCCAGAAGAGCATGAACTGGAAGGGAAGTGGCCAGGTGAGAAGCCAGAGCAGCCCACCCTCTCCCTCTGTAGGATTGTTTAGGAACAGTAAGGACAGTGGCCAAGGCACCTTGCCCAAGATGAGAGCCACTGGGGAGGAAAGGTCCTCTGAGAAAGACAGACTCCCGCAGGGCACATTCACCCTCCTGAGGTCTATGTTTTGGAAGAAAGGAAATAGGAAGATTGATAGGACTGGGGGCTCCCCACCGCTACCCCCAGTCTCCCACGGGAGTGGCAGGCTGAGCCCTGCTGTGGACAAGCAGATGCAGAGCCCTTCTCCTGCCCTGAGGATGCAGGACAGCCTGGCCAGGGGCCTGGGCAGCTACCTCGAGAGGGACGTCCGATCGGCGCCCAGCTCTCTCCACCTCCCTCGCAAAGCCACCAGGCCCCCGAGAACCAATGCCACTAGCACCGCCCAGAGAAGCATTCTTGGGGATCAGACTTCTTATGGCACCTTGCAAAAGGTGAAATACCACACTCTTTCTTTAGGTCGGAAAAAAACTTTACCAGAATCTAGCTTCTGATGGAATATTTCAGTATTGCATGAAACTGGTTTTCTTGGGACTTTGCACTGAGCATCTGTAGGCAGCCCGTGTTCAGAGTGGGCTTTTAGGAATCCAGTTGTCTTGTGATCTCTGAAAAAGGAATTCTTTATTTTTTTTTTTAAAGTTGCCATAACAACTTCCAGCACCTCCTATCCAAATGCCCTACTGTATGGCTGGTTGCTTTGATGTGGTCTGGCCACTAGAGGATGCTGTTGGGCTAACATTACCGTGTCCATGCAAGAACTGGTATTTCCTTAAAAAATAAAATTCCAGAGCCTGAGGAACTGTGTTACAAAGAATCCTCTGTGTCAGGTCAAATCTTGTCAGTGGTTTTTCCTTCTCCTTTCCATTTTGAAATAGTGAACTTCCAAGGAAAATTGTTTCCTTTGAGTGCTTCTCTGGGATAAGTGTTAAAGTTGTTGAAAAAGAGAGAAAAAAAAAGTGATCATAATAATAAAGCAAGATTCTAGGAGGGATGAAAGAGAGATGATTGATATTTTAGAAGAGTATTTAATATATAATGAAATAATTGTATTAAAGTTTTTCAAGGTATTTTAAAAATGTAACTATTTTGATACCAGGAAAAAAAAAAGGAAGTTTTTTTTTTTTAAGTATGAGATCTATGTATAATTTTAATAAAATTGTGTCGGTGAAACATGCAAATGGATTTCTGAGTTACTCAAATTTGATAAAGGACTTCGTTTCTTTCCTGCTGCATAAACTTGTCTCATTGCTGTGTCTATTAGAAAGTTGTTACTTGAGTTCTTTCTGAAAATTTGAAAGTGCTAGTAACTAAAAGGATGTGCTCTTTTCTAAAGAAGTAGAGGTCTTGGGATGCTTGCTGTCTTTGGGGGGACTTGTACTTGCCGGTATCTGAGAGTCTGAGCCTGCCTCAATGGACCATGTGTTCTCTAAAGCTTTGCACATTTTTAGTAGCTATTTTTCAAATATCATTTCTAAGAAGCTGCTAACCATGGGGGCCTTTTATTAGCTCCATAAAAAGGACAACTCATCTTGCTTTTTTTTTTAATATTTATTTTTTAGTTGTAGTTGGATACAATACATTTATTTTCCTTTTTTTTATGTGGTGCTGAGGATAGAAGCCAGGGCCTTGCACATGCTAGGCGAGCACTCCACCGCTGAGCCACAACCCCAGCCCCAAAGACATCTCATCTTTCATCTGAGCAACAGGACAGAAAGATCCGGAGAGACTAGAAGAAGCAGAAGTTCCAGCCTCCTGACACCAGAGGGCGCTGGGTATTCCTGTAGGCCTGTGTGTTTGCATTCTGCGGGAAGTCCATGTTTCTTCAAGCCTTCATTGGTAGTCTTGGTCAACGTGATGAAGGTCATGATTGTCCAAGTTCCCTTGAGTGATAGGAGTTTAGCAATCTTCCTGCTCTATCAGGTTCTTTCTTTTCTATTGCTCTTCCAAGCAGTTGCTTCCATACTTTGAGTTCTACCGTACCTTCTTTGTCCACTAAGAGACTGAATTCTAATTTACTCATGTACCTCAGGCTTCTGTCCCTTAACACTCAGTCTTTAGGATACCTTGGACTACGTTTGGACCCTCTCATGATAGGGTCATAGTTGTTAGCAATGTTCTCTATGATATACTATGGATTAGGGTATTTACCCCAGGTTTTCAACTTTGGACATTTGGAAATAATTACACTTGGACACTGGTGGATGGATATATATGCCATCCCAGAACTTTAGCAAAGATGCCTAAGTTCTCCATATCCTCTTCCCTGAGGCTGTTTCTCCCCCTAGAAGGAAATGATAGGAGAGTTTGTAAGAACAGAAGATGGAGGATAACTGAGCCAGATTTCCGCCCAGATTGGTGGGAACAGGACCAGCGTTGGCTGTGCATCTGGATACAGGCTGGGATGCTTGAGGAGGAGGCATAGGAGGACCACTTGGGTGCTTTTTTCTAATCACAAAGATCTCCCTGGAAATTCATAAATTGGGGTTGGAGAAAGGTTAAAACCATTGAATCCAATAGCACACCCCAGATGGACCTAGCTCAGAATGCAGAAATACCTTCTGTTCTCCTCTGGAAGCCTGGGAACTCTACCTAGTCTGTCCCTGCTGTCTGAGGCACAGTCACTAGTCTGATAGTGATGGCTTGCCCTTCACTCCTAAAGTGGTCCCCAGATTTGAGGCTCTCCTCTTTTCCCTCTACTTGTCTGTGGCAGGAAAGGCTTGCAAGTCTAGGGCTTGGAAGTCACACTGTTGGTGCCAGAAGGTTCAAGGGCCCAGGTAGTCAGAGGAGAAAGCCAGGAAGCCTCGAGGAAAAGAGACCATAGTCAGTAGGAGTTACATGGTTATAGTTCTGGGAACAAGTGAAGGTTGGTATGCTAGCTACATTCCATAGCTGGGATATCAGCTGCGGTGGACCAGCATGGCATCCTAGGAATGGTGAGTTAATCAAGTGCCACGCTGACTTGATTACACTCTAGAGCTGCAAAAATAGCAGTTAATAACTGGAGCTGACTAGCATTCATAAATGTGTGTACAACACTCTTCCAAGCACTTTACAATATTAACTCATTTCATTTGTAATAATGCTTTGAGGTAGGTACTGTTTTCTGTTTTACACATGAGGAAACGAAAGCACAGAGAGTTAAGCATATTATTTGCCTAAGGTCACACAGCTAGTAAGTAACAGAGCAGGATTCGAAACCCAGGCAACCCTGGGTCTGCAGCTCTTTCCCAGAATCACTGAAAATAGCAATGCTGCCCCTCTGAAGGTAGACTACTAATCCTGTCAATTGAAATCAAATTGCTTTCCTGTTCATCAAAATGGAGAAAAATGCACTCTTGGATCGATAGCTTATTTCCAAGTGATAGGAGCTGGAGGGAGACCATATCTGGAAAAGCCCTTGTCATTGGACTCACTCTTTAATTAAGTCTTAAGATACCTATTCTCCAAATCCCATTAACGTTTTACACCAAACTGGGGAGCTGAGTGGAGACGTGACGGGAATTAGGACATAGCAGGTGGGTTTCAAGTCTCTGTGGCCTTAATATCTGATTCTTGCAAGGTGCAATTTTGTTCTTGAGTCACTTTATTTATTGGGAGGATTGCTCTGTGATGTTTTCCTGACCCTATCATAATTTACTCTATAAAGATTTGAGGGTCCACTAGATATTTTAAATACAATTTCAGACTCTGGAAATGTGATAGGAAATAAGATAGACAAGGTGCTTGCCTTTCAGCAACATACCTAGTCTAGTTTGAAAAGACCCAGAACTAGTCAATATAATCAAGGTAATTTCAGGTAAATAAATTTCAGGTAGTGTCAACTATATGGATCGCATGAAACTTGGCCAAGAGAAACCAATTAGCATTCTGCTACTTGCTAAGACCAATTAAACACTCAGCAGAAAAGTGAAGTATTTTTGAAAAGGGTCCAGTTTCCATTGGGCCTGGCAAGATTTGCATCTTGGGATAGAGCTTCATTTATTACTAAGTCACTGTAAGTCCCCACTCAGACTGACCAAGCCCCATGGCATTTTGAATTCCTGAGGATTAGTGTCAGGCCAGGCAAATGGCCACAGTTTCTTTTGGGAATGGCTGGGAGAGAAGTCTGTGTTCCAGATATGTCCTTTAAGGGAGTCAAGATTTGCAAACTAAATCAGGTCAATAAAAAGCTCAGACTTCTTCATACAAGTCAGATTCCTAGTTTTAACACATCTGAGAATTTTTAGTTATTTGAAATAACACTGAGTAGCTTGCCTAGTGATTTAATTTCTGGAGGACCAAGCTATAGCCAGCAATCTCTGTATGGTGTGCCCTCCCTAGACTGATGACAAGACTGTGTCAGCTTGACCTTTGATGATAAATTGCTGTTAACAGGGCTTGGCCCCTTGTTAGTTCTGCTACCACCAAGATCAAGGTCTTCATTAGAAGAGGAGGTCTATCCAGCAGCATTTCTCTTTAACTTGAGTAAAGTCATTAAGTGCTTTTTGAAAACCTTGTTACCTACCTACTTCACTCATCTGCCACTCATGACAAGGTTAAAGTTTGGGGGCTATGTGAAGGGGCTACATCTCCTGAATCTTTGGATTCCTTCTCTTTTCATTAAGGTCTTTTGGTTCCATTTCTTTTGGGCCACAGTTACTTCTAGGTTATGTTAGCCAGAATAGCAAGCTCTTAGAACACAGCAGGCTGGTTTTCGAACTAGGTTCATTGGTGAATATATCCATATCATTGTTGAGCCGTATCCAAAATGGATTTTACCCATCTTGGCAGACTACTCAAGAAATTTATCCACTGGAAAAGAAGTTTCCCTATTTTAAGGAATTTTTAGGGTTTCTCTTAAATCTCTAGCCAAGGCTTCCCTCCCACCACTCATTTTATACTAAAGGCTGTGTCGAATTCTAACTTTGGTTGCTAAGGAGCAACAATGAAGGATGAAACATGACGGAAATGATGAGTGCTTTCCCAGAAGGGAGCCACCGTTTAATTTCAGAAGCATCTGGGGGTTTAGTAGACTCCAACAATGCCTTGAATTCTCACAGATATCTCAGTTCCAATGGTCGTATCTCTTTCTTTACTGAGTAATTCCTTAAGTTTTAATATAAAAGATCTGGAAAGATTGATAATTCAAATGTCAGGGTAGTCCAGCAGCCTGTGGAATCTATGAATTTATTTCTTACCAAATCTGAGCTTTACGAGTTCTTTTTGTGTCCTGGATACAAATTCTTCATCATATGTAGCTTAGAAATATATTCTTCCAGTCTGTGACTCGTCTTTTAGTTCTCTTCGTATTAACTTTTGAAGAGCAAAGTTATTTTTAATTTTGGAAAAAAAAGTCCAGTCTACTCAATATTTTTCTTTTACAGGTTGTGCTTTTGGTGCCATATCTAAGAAATGACTATAGCTTATGGTTACAGAGATTTTTTTTTTGCCTATGTTTTTTCCTTCGAGTTATCTAATTTTAGATCTGTGATTCACTTGAGTTAATTTTTTCATGTAGTACTAAAAAGAATATCTTCCCTCACTAAACTACCTTGGTATATTTGTTGAAAATCAATTGGCCACGTATGTTTAGACTTTATATGTTCCACTTACCTATTTTTCCACCTTTATGTGTATATCACACTGTCTTGTTTATTTAATTTTACAAAAAAAAATCCTAAAGTCAAGTAGTATAGTTGTGCAAATTTTATTTTTCTTTTTTCAAAGTTGTTTTAGCTATTTTAGGTTCTTGGCCTTGTCATACTATATTTAGAATGAACTTGTCAGTTCCAACAGAAAAGTTTCCAATATTTTATTTGGGACTACATTGAATCTATAGAACTGAAGAGGACGAAATAGATAGTTCTTATATTAAGGCATTGTAACAATCCATAAACTTCCAATCCATGGATATGGTATATCTCTCCATATGTTTAGGTCTCTTTACTTAGCTCTAAGTAGTGTTGGGTAATTTTCAGTACATATATCTTGCACATATTTTGTCAAATGTAGTCCTAAATTTTCATTGTTTTGACGGTATTGTAAAAAGACAATAAGGTTTTCAATTTCTGAAATTTTATTGCTGGCATGTGGAAATACAATTGACCTTGTATCCTGTGACCTTGCTTAATTTAAGTTCTCTAATTTTTTTCCAGTTGCCTTTGTGTATATTTAAGAGCATTTTCTACATAGATAACTGTGTTATATGAAAATAAACATAGTTTTTCTTCTTCCTTCCAATCTATATACCTTTATTT